ATATATCTCATCTGCAAATACAGTTTTACTTCCTCCTTGCCAAGTTGGCTGCCTTTTATTTCCTTTTCTTGCCTTAATGCTTTAGTAAGGACTTTCAAGAAAATATTGAATTTTGTCTTTTCATTTCTGTCAAGTAGGAACTGACTCATAGCTGACCCACCTTTTGGGTTTCTGAGGTTGTAAAACACATGATCGATTGCTCATCTTCCTCAAATGGAGCTGTGAACCACCAGAGGGGTATGGTTGTCAGATTAGTAGCAAAACTTCCTACGAGCTACACCACGAATGCCCTATAATAGTGATAAAAAGGCATCCATGTGTGGATCCTGTTTGCAAAGGGAATGTCTTCACTCTCTCCAGTTAATGTTGATCACTGGTTTGTATATGTTGTTTTACCATCAAATTGGAATCGACCCATAGCTAACTCTTCAGTGGGTTTTCAGAGGCAGTTAATTGTACAGGAGATTATCCATTTTTCTCCTGTGAAGTACATGGTGGCCTCAAACAGCGTGCTTTTGGGACTGCAGTGCAGCTTCTTGCCACTAGAGCTCCCTATACATGTATATATACTTTTAATTATGTTATTTTGTTGAGGAAAGGAGATTGAAACTTGCTCAATGCATTTTCTGCATCAATCAAGATGATGGAGTGGTTCTTTTTCTTTATGTATGTAATGGACAACAGTGGATTGTTTTTCATTATGCTGAACCAACTTTGCATACCTGGTATGAATCCCACTTGATCTTGATTTGAGTTCTACCGGCTAGGATTTTGTTGAAAACTTCTGCACCTTTGTTGATGAGGGATATTGGTCTATCATTTTCAATTTTAGTGGTGTCTCTGCCTGGCTTGGGCCTGAGGGTTATGCTTGTTTTGGGGTAGGAATTTGGGAGTATTCCATCTTTTTCTATATTCTTAAATACTCCAATTAGAATGAGTGTCAATTCTTTTCTGAATGTTTAATAAAAATTACCAGTGACGTGATCTGGGACAGTTACTTTTTTTTTTTCTTTTTGGCTGGGAGTATTTTTATGATTGGTAAATTTTTCTTCTTTTGTCATGGGTCTATTCAAATTTTCTATATCTCTCTGTGCTACCTTAGGTAGGCAATGAATTTCTAAAACTTTTTTCACTTCCTCTAGGTTTTCAAATTTGCTGTAGTAAAATTTGTCATGTTGCTGTTGTTAGGAGATGTGGAGTCAACTACAATTACAGTGACCCTATGAACCACTGATTGAAACGTTGCCCTGTTGTTGGCCCTTCTCAGGATCTCTGCCATAAGTCCTGTGTTGCAGTCAGCGGGTCAGTCCATCTTCTTAAGGGCCTTCCCTTCTTTTACTGATCCTCCATCTTTTGTGGCATGTCTTTTCTTCAAAGACTAGTGTTTCCTGACAACATGCCCAAAGCACACATTATGAAGTTAAAGTGGAAACTTCTAGTGTAGTTCCTCTCTCCTAAAATCTAGTATTTACTATGTGCTATAGAAATAGCTTTCTTTTTGTAAGATTCACTAGGTATTTTCTTTCTTTGGTGTTCATATATCAAATTTTTTACTTAGACAAGTAGCAATCTCCTGTCTACAGATCTTAAATAAAGTTATATTATTTCTAACATCTGGCCAACAGTTCTCAGTCGAAGTTCACAAGTAATCTGGTTTATCATAAAAATGAACCCTTAGTGCAAGGTGACAAAGTTCTAATTATTATTTAGAAGTTCCATTATAGTCTCAAGGACTCTATTTTTCCATACCTCTTTTCCTTGTGTCCCCACTCTATCTCAACTGATGTTTAAGAAATATGATATTAGCTTAAGATAGCCTAGTACCCCGAAGTGATTCTCCTCAACCTCTTTAATCTTTAACAATTTTATACATGCAAATTGACAAAGACACCAATAGAGAGTCAAAACATCCAATTTTCATATTTTAGGCATTTTTATTTAATAAATAACTTCAGTAAATAGCACTGTAAAAAGTGAACTGTTAAAATTAAAAGGCACTTAAAACAAGAATGTGGCTAGTATGAAACAAGACAGGCAACTCAAACAAGGAAAGGTACATGTACAGTGGTCTGTTATGGCACTAATTGAAAACTGACTTGCTTAAGTGATAGTTGTTGCATAAGCTACAGTACGTGTCACATATTCATTTAAAAAGGCAAATTTACAGCCAAACTTTCAAAGAAAATACACTGATTGGAAAAAAAAAGGCTTATTAAAAAACTTAAATATATTAAAAGATTAGAAGAGGTGATAAAAAGCACCAGGCTTTTAACAAAATGAAAAGAGTAAAACCAAAAAGGTCCCCATTCAGCAAACACTACAAAATTAAAGTCTATCTGAAATAATGCTAAATCAAGGACTTTTTTTGCAGAATATTCCCCAGTACTTTTATCCAAGGCTTGAATTTATAAAGAGAAGGCATAAAAGTTACCAAGCTCAAGTAACTCTTAAAATGGCACACACAGGTTTTTAAAGCTATTTGTTTTTCCTTCCTAACTCTCTGAATTCTTCCCATGGCCTTTGCACATTATACCAAAGCTATTTTATATCTATAAGTTCAAATATACTCAATTTTCAGATATGTCATCAGTCATGATAGGTAAACAGCAAAATAATAAAGTAATTCTAAGCTAGCTAACAGCACATTTACTTTCCATTTTCGGCTTAACTGGAAAATATAGGTTCTGACATATCTGTAAAGCTAAAAATAAAATGTAATATTTGATTAATAAAACTCCCAACATAGTGATGCTTTTATCTATTGTTCTTTCCACTTTAAAAATACCACGTAAGCCAGTAAGAGCTTGATTTCAAAGTCCAGGAGGAAAAGATCAAAAAGGCACAATGTGACCTTTGCTGACAAGGATAATCATCCCATCTCAAGTCTTCTGTCAGTCCCTGGCATTGATTATGACATTATTTTCAAAATAATAAAAATAAAAACAATTATACATATTATACAGTTTTTAAAACTGCACATGAATAAAAACCATGGCAATTATTACCTTAACGCTACCTTACTATGAATATGAAAATTGCTACTTTGCATTCAGTGTTGTGAAATTTGGACAAGCAGTGTTCATTTTCCCTCATACTTTGGATTGACAACAGTTGTCACGGCACTCTTATAAATAGGATTTTCACCCTGGAAAAAAAAAAGTGAGACAAATGGTCATTACTCATGTCATATATTTTTGTAAATCACTACATTGAAAGCTATGCTCATTGTAAGTAAGTGCTTTCTATTCTGTCAAAATACCACACTCCGTTTTTAAAAAAGCATAGATCAAGGCTAATACAAAAAAATAAAGCTTTAATCTACAAGACTAATAGAAAGGTGCCCCTGCAACATGGAGGGGTTGGCTTAAGCATGTCCTCCCAGGGCAGGTGCTGCTGGGCTGCAGCCCCTCATGCCTGATTCTCATCTCTTTGTGTACAGAAGGTCCTTGATCACTAAAGGGGATCTATGGCTTCCATCTCTGTAAAGGGGGTATTTTCTTGGTACTGACTTTTCCACAAAAATTACTTAGAAGTTTCTGGGATAATGTCTTCACATCACTCAGGGCACTGTTTCTCAAATAACAAATTACCTTGCCAAATTTGTTTATTGTGCTAAGTAAAATAATTACCATTTTCCAATATCATACTGGAATTAGGTTTCATTTTTATTTTAATACCCTACTTGGTAAACCAAACCAAGACCAAACCCACTGTCAATGACTCACGTCAGAAAGCCTCACAGCATCAGGATTTTCTCCTGAGGAGCTACAGATGAGTCTAAACTGCTGACTGACTGGTTTGTAGCCCAGTGTTCTACAAAATGTCACCAGGGCTCCTTATTCTTTAGTTAAGAGTAAGTAAGCAAATCAAGCCCACAAGCTATGACATCATCACATCCAAAAAATAAATTAAGCTTCAAGCAAGCAGAAAAGCAAAGTATCCAGCAGTATTATTTCCTTAAAAGGTACTCTATGGTGCAGTTAAGTATCTGCTATAGCATTTTTTCCTTTTCTTATAAACTGAAAGTAGACTTAGAAGCCACATGATAATTATGGCCAAATCCTCTTTTACCACAGGAAATCACACTAAGTACCAATTTAACCATATACTTAATTATCAGGGCATTAAGAGATGACTTTGAAATGCTGCTTAGTTTTCTATTTCACCCTAAAACCATTGACAAGTGGTTTTTTCCCCCCCAAGTTTATCTAGAAAACAATACTTGTTTGTAAATTTATCCACCTGTATTGTAGATTATATTGACTCTGGCTTTGTTGCCACAAGTTTTGCCCTCAAGATGAATATAGTTTGGTGGACAGTAGGCATGAAAACAAATTAAGGTACTCCAAAGCTATAAAGCAGAATTAAGCATACAATAATGGGACTGGTAGAAGAAAAAATGCATTTACTTTGAGAAGATTAGGATGTTTTCACAAACAAAACTGACTCAAGACAGATTAATGGAAGGTGAATAGAAGAACATATGCAAAATCAAGTGTAGAGAAAAAGGGTACATTTATGAAGAAATACAAAGCTCAACATGTATGAAATTATCATGTATGGGTTTGTAAATGTATGCATTAAAGTTGAGGAATGGAGAGAAGACAAAAGTCACGCTAAATCACAAGAGTGTATGGCACTCAAAAATGTCCAATTTGTATTCTGTAGTTTGAAAGTCACTGTGAGAAAGATAACCTAAAATCTTGGATCCCGAAACACACCAAATAAACTACTGTAATTTCTGTTTAGCATTTAGTCTGAATGCTACATAGAACAGAAGAAAAGAACCTCTCTTGTGTAAAATGACCACAAGCTAATCTCATCATCTCAGAAACACAGAGAAATTCAGGATCTCTCAGAAATTATATAATCTGGATGATCAAATCACAGGGAGTGTCAAATTCTGAGCTGTAATTCCAAGGAGGGCTAATACATTACATACATCCACTCCTCACTTACAGCCATAGGTAGGTTCTAAGACAAGGTTGTTAAGCAAAAATAGGCATTATGTAAAAATTGAGAATGATCACATCATAAAGGATGACAATATTACATAACCACTAAATTATATCACTACATAAATACCAAACCACTGAAAATCATGGCCCTATCCTCTGACAAATGACTTGATTCATCTAGTAGTCAGTGTTACTCACACCTTGGTGGTCATTACTGCCAAACATATTGTTAATGTGCCATGAAGTTGGACAACAGATTTTTACTATTGTTGTAAAGGTAAATGATAGTTAAAAACAGATTAAGTGTGGAGTATGTATACAGACAGACATTTGAGAATGGTAGACATTTTAGGATGAAATAAGAGAACTGGCTCCTTACAATTGCATTAATTACACACAGAACAAACAAACAAAATTTAAGAAATTACAAAGGAGAAATAAATTACACTCCGTATTGTCATCCTCCTGCCTACTAGAAAGGAGCCTTGGTGGTGTAATGGTGTACGAGCTCATGTACTAACCAAAAGATCAGCAGTTTGAATCCATCAGTTGCTTTGTGAAAGAACTATGAAAAAAAATTAATTAGAATCTAAATATATGAATATTTTAGAAATTGTAAGAGAAGGACAAAAAGAAAGGACAACTCCATGTGTCACTTCTAAGTATCATTTATATGGGAGAACTTACCTTTGGGAAAAAAACTGCCTTTTCATGTACATAAATACTTAAGTTTATTATTACAAAGTCAATCCAAACAAAACTTTAACATGCAAGGTTAGAGTCAAAATTAAATTCACTATCTGCATTAGGCATCATTTTAAGTGGAAGAAAAAGAAAATAATCCAGATTAGTTCCCAACGTTCACAGTGCAAACTCCTCAACCACTTCCAAAACCCACAAAACTTATTTTCATCAAGAGAACAGGTTATATTCTGAAATGAAGTCCTTTATACTCAGTAATGCACCATTCTGTGTCCACCATGGACAGTGTTGGGTATGGAATCATACTGACATTTACATATAAAATGGACAATTGTGAGAATAGACAAAGCCACATTTAACAGCAAAGCAGAGCAGATCAATTTTTTATCCACTTTAAAAGTTGTAGGCCCTCTATGAGGTGGATTGATTCAGTGACTGGGGTAATCGGGACGGGTGTATTGGAGACAGTGCGACTGGCACAGGACAGAGCAGAGTTTAGGACTGTTGTACATAGGGTCGCTATGAGTCCCAAGCGACTCGATGGTACATAACACCAACAACTAACTCATTATTCCAAATGTATTTACGGCATTATTAGTTGACGGCAAACCTTGGTCCCTTATCAGAAAAAAGTGATTTATAATACATGATTTATTATGCTTATTCCTTAAGTTCTATTTTAATTCTTCTTGAGAAAGCATCTCTTGGAATAATTTGTAGTATTTGATTTATCCATACTTCTCTAATGATTAAAGAAGTATTTTCCAAACTATTGCTTCTTGAATTTTATAAAATACTTGTTTGGTTGAAGCAGTAATATTTTAGCCAAATATTAATAGTTTAAACATTAAGGTAGCTTAGTGGAAAGGAGTTGTGCTGCCAACTCAAAGGCACATCGTCCAAATGGACCAGGTGCTCCAGGAGAAACATAGGCAATCTCTCCTTGTTTGAAAATCCACTGAAGGTCAGTTATGGGTTAGTTCTGACTCAATGGTACACAACAACAACATTCTTTTAAAGTACCACTAAATGTACAAGGGTGAAAATTTCACCTTTCATCAAGACAAAAAAATACTCTCATATGAAAAAGAAGAATATGAAATTACTGTTATTTTACTATTAATTGCCTGGAAGGAAAAAAAAAAGGATGGGAGGAAGACATGGATTCCAGAAATATCAGTGGCTAATACATTTTTCTAAAAATATGTGAGGAAAGAACAGTGCGTCAAATCTCAAACAAAAATAGAAATGATCCTTCTCATACATAATATGACTATATGTTTCTGCCATTAAATTTAACTTTCCTGTTTAAATAAAATTTCAACATATATTCAGAAATAAAAGAAAATTCTAACCAGAAGTGGTTTAAAAATAGTAAGCATTCCTTTACATCTTTTTTCATTTATCACTTTATAACTATACCCTCAACAGGTTAAGTTAGCTTGATTGTAGTGCTGAGTTTGAGGTAATGTTTATGCATAAAAGGAATGATTAAACAAATGCCAAAAAAAAGCTGAATTCTATGAAAGCAAGAACTATCTATTTCTGGCCAGACAACAGAGAAGATCTCCTTAATACACTTGATTGCTACCTAAGAGCATGGGCTCTGGATCCTGGATTTGAATCTTAGTTCTACAAACTACTGGAGAGAACCTGGCCAGGCTTTCTGACCTGTGCCCAGCTTTCTTATATGTGAACTAGCGATAAAAATAGTTCCTACTATATCACTATGAAGAATAATTTTAAAGCATTTAAAGTTATCTTGAGATGCAGTGTTAACATATCTATGTTGTTATAATTATTACCACTAATATAAAATAATTATTTGCACAGCAGCTGAGAATAAAAAAAAAAAAGAATCATCATCATAGACTCTGACATTCAATGAGCTGAGAAAGAAAAGAAAAATCTAGATCACTAGTAAGGATAATCTGGTTCTAATCACAACTGATCTTTTTATCCGAGTTTTAATATTTTATATTAAAATACTATGGAAGCATTACTTCCACCAAAACAGCACTCTAATTTAGGGAAACTGATATGTATATCTCATTACAATTTTAAAATTATCTACCTATGTTTTAAAATGATAAATCATAATAAATGTTTTCCTTTGTCTTTTATATCTTAAAAAAGTTCAACCTTAAAACTTGAAAATTAGACTAACTGAATAATGAACAAGATAACTGACTTAAAAAAATAAAAACTCCTTTTACTTTTAATTTCATTCCAAGTTCTAATCAAGAACTACAAGATCCTAAAACTTCCCTAAACCAATAATACTGATACTGTCTGCTAACACCAATGCTACAGGAAGTACCTACTGTCTGTTGTCTATTTTGCAGTTTGGATGTCATGCTTAATTTTTACTTTTCAACACAAAAATTTACATATAACATACATAAAATAATATCTAAAATATAGAAGGATAATGAGGATTACAACTGAAAGAGTAATTTCAATACTGTAAGTCATTTGTCAAAAGCAACTAGCTCGTACAACAAAAGCCACTGGCTAACTCCATGCTACACATGGCAGAAACTGAAGCTCAGAGTTCAACTCCATGCATTTTACTAAGTGCAAGATGTATGTGTGACCCTGGGGTTGGGCTCACTCACCCTTCTTTTGACTACACCAGAGCTGTGTTTCTATATCCTATAACTTAATTTAAATCTCAACTAAACACTAAATTAACACACACACACACAAAGCCACAATGTTGCCATATAATAAAGCCAGGTGTAAAAAAAAAGCAATAGTGATAAAGGACACACAGTGCAGTAAAAAATTATAAAAGTCCCCATGCAAAGACAGAAAAGAAAAATACGAACGGCGACTTAGAGACCAGCTTTACGTCCATAGTTTGGATTCTTGAAATTATTAATAGGACTCCTGTAAATCGGATTTTCTTGCTAAAGTAAAAGAAACAGTTTCTAATGATTTCATCAGACAGAAAATAATTTATAGTGTTTAAACACTATAAAAGTGTTTTTAATATTTCTACATTCTGAAATTCATAATTAAAGGGCACACACAAAAAAATCTAAGCTATGTGTAGTGAAATGCTGATAACTAAAATTCATTTAGGATAGAAAAATACTGTGACTGCCATTGCTTTCTGGTCTCAAAGGCTGAACACATAAGGACCCACATTCAGTCACCTCACCTTCTGATACCATTTTTCAAAGTTTATATAAAGGTGGCACAAAGTGCTAAACTAAGCACAATCTTTAGATAAGACTTGCTTCAAAATGTGTATGAAGCAAGTTTAAGACATAATGAGTTATCAAATGTTCAAGCTCTCTCATTCCCACAATCAAGACAGTCCCCAAAAGATCCTTCTGGTCCTTTGGAGGTAGCCCTCTTGGTAACTGCTTCTGAAACTAAAGTTATACTTTTTCAATAATGTCATATAAATGGAAATCATACAGTGTGTAGCCTATTGAACTGTGCTTCCCCTCCCCATTTGTGGTTTTGGTGTTTGTGATTTTTTTTAATAAAAGAGAAGCTGACCACTAAGTACCTTGCTAAACAAGCCTATTTTGGATTTGATGAAAAGACAGAAGAAAAGATATGGGACCATCACTATTAAACAAATAAAAATGTTTGTCACAGTAACCAGAGAATACATCCTCATAATGTGCATATATGCCTAATTATTCCTGTTAACGTATATGAAATGGGGAGTATTTCATTTCACTGAGATAAATTTATGATCACTCTTTTTTTCTCTAAATACTAAACTTTAAGGGGAAAAGAATATTTAAAAAGGATTCTAATAATCAGTTTTAAAGTTACAAAACAGTTTTATTTCTTTTTACGAACCAGCTTACTTTTCAGATGTTTCACTACTTACCGTGTCCCATTTGGCATTCATTTTCTCTTTTTCAAATTTAGCAAATTCCCTCCTGTCATGAATTATCATTAGAAGTTTCCAAATCAGCAGCAACGCAAGGCCAATAAGAACAATTCCAGCAACAACACCAGCAACAATTGGAATTATGTCTGGACCAGTGGGACACTCTGGAAAACAAATATGAAAAAGTAAGTACATTCAGGAATATGAGAAAGTTTGGCCATAACCCAGAGAACGGCAGTTGTTGTTGCTGTTGTAACAAGGTTTCATCCAACTGACTACAACTCAGGGACACTGTGAACAGCAGATGTAAACCTTGTCCTATACTGTACCATCCTCCCAATCTCTGACACACTCTAGCCCATTACTGTAGTCATTGTGTCAATCCATCTCATTGGGGGTCTTCCTCTCCTTCACTTGACCCTCCACCTTTCCAAACATGATGCCCCTTTCCAAGGAACAGCCTCTCCCAGCAACATGACCAAAGTATAAGAAATGAAGCTTATGATCTTTTCCTTAAGGAGTACTCTGGCTACACTTTTCCCAAGACATTATCTGTTTTATTCTTTTGAGAGTTCATAGGATATTCAGTACTCTTCTCCAATACCACAACTCAAAGGGCATCAATTCTTCCATCACTCATTCTCAGATGCAGAGCAAGTAACTGAAAAGACCTAACCTGAATCAGGTGCACTTTAGTCCTCCAACTGACATCACTGCTTTTCTGTATTTTGGGGAGGTCCCTGAAAACAGACTTGCCCACTACAATATGTCTCCTGACAGCTGGTACCAAGGTTGTTGATTGTTGATCCAAGCAATAAGAAATCATTAACAGTTTCAATCCTTTCTCCAACCATCATGAGGTTTGTTGCCTACTGGCCCCAGTGGTGGGAACTTTTGTTTTCTTGATGTTGAAATGAAATCCATACCACAGGCTACATACAGTCTTTGATATTCTTTCTGTAGCAAGCATTTCAAGTTCTCATCTTCAGTAGGTAAAATTTTCACAACAGGTTACTGATGAGTCTTCCTCAGATGGACACTCCTCTTCAGAGTCCAGGTTTACAAATTATTTGCTCAGTAAACAGTCGGAATAGATAGGAATAAAAGATATATCCCTGACACACACCCTTTCTGATTTTAAACCATGCAGTGTTTCCTTGTTCTATCTGGACAACAGCTTCACAGATGTCATTGAGCATGATTAAGTGTCCTGAAATTCCCTTTCTTCTCAATGTTAGCCACAGCTTGTATGATCAACAGAAAGTTACAGGAATAAAAATCTAAGCAAGTGAATGTAGACAGTTCCAGAAAATCTATTAAAAAGCTAGGAGAACAGTGAGTGAACTTGCAAACTCACACAAGATTATGGTGTTGGAGAAGAGCACTGAAAATCCCACGGACAGCCAAGAGAACAAACAGATATATCTTTGAGAGGGTGCAGCTGGAGTGCTCTTTGGAGGCATGAATGATGAGGCTTCACCTCACATACTTTGGGCATATTCCTTAGGAGAGGGACATGATTCTGGGAAGGGTGGAGGGTTGGCGAAGGAGAGGAAGACTCTCAACCAGGTGGAATGACACAATGACCGCCACAATGGGCCCTCGTGTGTGTTGGGAAGTGTGAGGATAGCACAGGGTTCAGATCTTTTGTTCATAGGGTCGCTATGAGGCATACTCAACTTGAGAGCACCTAATAACAATATATATTTCTAATAATGAACACTGAAATTTTTAAAATAGTGTGGTCTTAAAAAAATAGCAGCAAAAATCATGAAATAATTATATATAACACTAACAAAATATATGTAAAATCTGTACACTAAAATTTACTAAAAACTGTTCTAAGTGCCTTTTGTAAATTATTATTTAATCTCCAAACTCTGTACTCATAATATGAAAAACTTGCTTTCTTCTTTATTTCTTACACAGTTAATTAAAGCTTTGTGAGACAGAATACTCCCAAACTGGACTTGAATCTACTGAAAACTATTTCTGTATATGAAGGAAATTGCCATGAAGGGTGAGAGTACAAACAAGACTTAAAAGACAATGACCAGAATGTCTGAAATGATCAGGATCATACCTGGAGTCTCCACAACATGAACAATGGCTTCGTTGTTTGCATTCACAGAATATGTAAAATAGAACCAGCAGTCATCCACATCTTTCTCCTTACAGTGGGACAGGGGATCGACCTGGCCAGGCTGGGGTAATTTGTCCCGATTTTCTACCTTGGTAATGTTGAAGCGTAAACAGTCCTGTGCACACGTATCTTTCTTTTCTCCTTTATTAAAGGCTCTGCACTGAACACATTCTCTGTCAAAACACAAAGGATTTGGATTTAAAATAGACTGTCTTATTTATATTTTAAAATACGCATTTCAAGTGCTAGACACCCAGCATCAAATTAAACCAAGAGCTAAGAAAGAAACTGGAATAAAAGGAGACACATACTAGATTTCTGGATGAGAAAATCATGTATAAAAAAATGCTAGTTCCCCAAATGAAATTATAGACTTACTGCTATTCAAATTAAAATCTAACAACAACAAAAAACCCTACAAATTTTGAAAAATTTTATAAACAAGTAGTAAAATGAACTTAATTCTATCAGATAAAAATCATAAAAGTCATGATATTAAAGGTAAAAACCTCCAATTTTGTTTCATTTGGTCAAAAGATAGTAATTAAACAATTTATCATGCTGGGAAAAGTGAAGCATCAAAGAAAGAGTAGACAAGAAGGACTGACATAGTGACTGTAACAACAGGCGTAAGCCTATCAGGATGGTGAGGATGGTGTTGAATGGGACAATGTTTCAATCTGTTGTTGGAGTCGTCACAAGTCATAGGTGATCAATTGCACTTAACAACAACAAATGTCAATTCAACAAAAGTTACAATATGAATTTAACACTATAGCAAACTGAGATCAAAATAATGCTAAAACTCTCATATGAGATACCTTTTTGTATTAGGTCACATACACTAGCTATTGACAAAGAATTTCTAAGAATTACACAATGGCTGTCAGAGGGAAGAGATACTTTTGTTACAATGTTCTAATACTGGCACTTTTCTGGATTCAATGATAATACATAATTAGTTCAGCAGAATGTATAAAACCATTATTTCAAGATTCAGAAATAAAATGCTTATTTTCAGAAATACATACTTATGTTCAGCACAGACACCAAGGCAGGTCTGACACATCTCACATGTTGGCCCTTGGAATTTGGGATCTGTACATTTACAGACACCACATTCACAGATGCCCCGTCCATTGCAGATCTGTCCATTTGTGGCCATGCATGAAGTTGTATCCAAAGAACAGTCACAGGCACTCCCAGTGTAGTTTGGGTTGCATTCACACACACGACACTTGCAAACACCATTTCCTGAAATTAAAAGTAATGTAACTCTAAACTCTGGTGAAAATAGAAAATCACAACTTTGATTTAAAAGTACAAAGTATTAGCAGGGATTAAGTTTTCAAAAGGATGAATGACTACACTGGTACTGTCATCCTGTCTTCTACTTACTCAACACTTAGTTTTTGGTATGACATGGGATTACATATTTATAAGCATTTTTAGACTCTTTTCTCACCTCCACAAATTAAGCCATTGGACCGATCACAGTTGAAATTATCACACTCGCAGAACTTGCCAGAATAAATTTCATTTGTATTGTCCCTCTTCCTGCAGACACACTGTCCACAGACACATTCTCCATTGTTACTACAGATTTCTGAGCTGTTCTCTTTCCTGCAGTAAGCATCCATGTCTTCACTGTTAACTTCATCTGTGCTGCATTCACAGTGTCTACCCACACGTCCCTCATTGCACCTAAACATTCCAAAATTTAAAAATTAAGTCACACTGTTAAAGGCCAAGAGAGGCACACACACTGTATAATCTCCTCAAATAACACACATATGACATTCATGGCATCTGTGTCACAAAAATGTGTACCTGTTTAATTCACACAAAATATATTTAATGTCCTAGGGGGGAAATCTTTATTCTTCACAGTAATCACTTTCATCAAGATGAAAACATATTCTAGGTGAAAAGAACTTTTGGGACAATAAATTAACTTTTATAAGTATAAAAATAAATACCTATAATAGGTTACATATATTTTCAAATGATATGTAAATGCTGTTTACTTTAAACACTAGATATAATGGTGATGTAAAATCATGGTTTAATTGTTGATTTGTAAAAATACAATAAAAGCACATCTAAAGTCTATGGAGTTATTTTAAGGACACCCAATGATCACTCAGTCACTGCGTACTCTAAAAAGAAAGAAACAGCAAAATATTTTCAAGATTGTGTTTTTGGTTAAATGACATTTTAGTAAAAGCTGATATATAGGACTTGAATAATACTTATGTAATACAGAAAATAAAAGTAACATTTTTATTATTATTTAGAACAGACATTTAATAACTGATAAAATACTTTTACTCCTCACTTATCAAAGACCTTGTCATCCAATATTTCTCATTTCTACAATAATAAAAACATCTACTATTTTTTTGCATTAACAACTCATGTCTGCCAGTAAATGAATACCAATGTGCAAGATGACAGTTATGCTGACTGTGATGGTTAAGGGTCTGTGCCAACCTGGCTGGTCCATGATCCAAGGACTTTGGCAGTTAGGTCATGACATAATATGGTTGTTGTGCAATCCTTTATTTTCACATAATGGCAATTTTTGCCTATCAACCTGGTCTTTGGCATCTACCATACTGATAATTTTCCTACTAAACCTAAGGATTCAGGGCTGATATCTACATTAAAACTACTCTTACTCTTGGCTTTTCTTTTAAAAAAAATAAATCAGAATATATTAAATTTTATTTTTTCACCATAAAGTGTGAAAATTTAAAGTAACTTGGCTAATGTTTATAGCAGAGACTATATTCTGAATATAATTTAGTCTTTTTCATTTTATAAAATATATTTTTATAAAAAAATTATTCCTAGTCAGAACTACAAGATGTTGAAGGTAAACATCCTTTATTGTTTCCCAAATGTTTTTCTAAAACATTTTACTACCAACATAATCCCTATAAATGTATTTAATTCTAGAAAATTCAGATTGGCTCTCTGTGAGAGAGAGAAAACCAAGTGTTGCTTTAACTCTTAGATAAATATGCCTGATACGCAGCTAGAGAAGCTTTTATTTTTAGACTACAGGGTAGTCTTTCTAAAAGTAACTAGAAGGACTTTTTATAAACATCATATACATAATCAATGAAGCTGATCTTGGAAGTTTTTTTAGATTAGGGTGGGCAATACTCACCGGAACAACTAATTTTATGTGCTCCAAGTAGAGAGATGTTCTTGGGATGTGTCAAAACATTGTCTGCAAACAATTTTCCAAGACAACACCTGTCCTTTTCCAGCAACCCCAGCTTACCTGCAAGCTCCACACTCAAATGTCCCATTTCCTTCATGACACTTTGGACTTTTAGGGATACCGTCATTCTGGCATTCACATTCACAGATGAACTGAAGACCAATCTCCACCTCTTCAGTGAAACCCAGAGGCTTAATTTTAATAGTTTCTGAAGTTTTGGTTGGACATTTATTTGAAGTTATGCTAATTTCAAATTTAACCTTACCAAAAAAAAAAGAAACCAATTAAATTAATAATTAGGCAATTTAAATCTACTAGTCAATAATTTTTTTTAATTTAATATTTTTCAGTTCTACAAACCAGCAATCTTTTTCTTCAGAAAATACTTGTATAACATACCTCATCTCCAATGGAAATATTGGAGCATTTTCTTCCATTTTCCCCTGTTCCGTTCACTCCATTTTTGCAGTAAGATTTATAATTTATTGTTACTCCTTCTGGCAATTTGCTGTTTTCCAAAATGACTTCTGAGGAAAGGGACTAAAAGAAATACTAATTATGCAAAGAAAAATCCAGCTAAGTAGTGTTGTTGTTGTTGTGTACCACAGAGTTGGAACAGACGCACAGCTGACCCTTCGCCAGGTTTTCAGAAGCAGTTATTAACACGGGAGGAGATTGCCCATCCTTCTCCTACAGAACAGCTGGTGGCCTCGAACCACATGCCTTCAGGATTGCAGCATAGCTTCTTTCCACTAGGCCACCAGAGCTCCCTTACTGTCAAATAAGTTTACCACATAAAAGCAATGGCTAAAATAAACTGTTAAAAAATTAATTAAATATGCAAGCCAAGTCCTAAACTCAGAACCCCAAAAAAAAGACTCCAATCAGTAAGGAGCAAATTTTGAAAAGAATATGAATAACTGAAATAGTAGAAGTATTTTTATTTTAATTATTGTTATAACATGTACAATATTTGATATTCATTTTATGGAATTGCAAGAGCTCAGATCAAATCTGTTTTTCCTTAGTAGGCAGCACAGCTTTCCTCTTATTCTACCCCTTCTAGCTAATTAGAAACTAGGATAAGTGAACTAATATGAGAACAATTCTGCTTAAAAGTCACTGTAGCCTTAGTTCAAAACTTAAAACAAACAAAAACCATCCAGGTAGAAAGGAAATATAGTTCCTGAGTACAGCAAAGGTTGAGACACTTTACTGTTAATCAAAAAGTTGTCAACTTTGAAGTACATCAGATGAAAAGTCTGGCAATCTACTTCACCAAACCAGCCACTGAAAACCCAATGGGATACAGCTGTTCTCACAAACTGGGGTGGGAGAGAGTGGTTATCACCATGAGTCAGAATGTCTTAGCAGAAACAGATTTTAAGCTAAAGTGCTTATTCTGAGTATCAAGATTGTCAGAAGAAAAAAGGTTACAGTGGCAATCTATCTTCAATTCACACTCCAAAAAAGATAAGTTGCTGTTGTTATGTACCATCAAGTCAGAACTGACCCAAGAGTAAGTACTAAATTAACAGCCTCAAAAAAGGAAAAAAGAGCTATGGGGAAGTGATAGAACATCCTTGTAAAGTTTCTCTTCTCTCCCTCTCTGAGTCAGGTCATTCTATGACATTCTATAAATCTCACTGAAGGAAGGAAAAATACCTAAAATTTAATCTGTCAGAGTCTGAGGTAGTGGGGGTGATATATGCAAAACTGAATAACTAGCATATTACAAAAATGCCTTCATATTATTTAAAATTAGTATTAATGTGTAGTGGAACTCTCAAGTCTTAGGAGTAACAGTGTCTCTTTAATCTCAGCTCAAGTTCTACATTTGAAAGAAAAAACCAAAAATATTTAAAAAAATTAATGTCATATATATTTTATATGATGTATGTGTGCATCTCTCTTTAGAAAAGATAACTGGACTTTCAAATAAGTAGCAAAGGGGCAAAAAAAATAAATGCTTTTCTAGAAAAGTTTATCAAAATGAAAAATTCTCCAAAGAAAGATGAACACTGGGGGAATCTTATAAATCTAAGCATAAGTTATGTTTTCCATTTGCTTTACAATGAAACCTAACACCTAAGAAAGAAATATACTTGGAAATTTTTTTGACACATCTTTATATTTTTGCTTTGTGAAAACTACAAAAATAATGATGCTTTTCTAAGATAGTATAAGAGTTTCTATATTATTATAGAGCACAACTGTGCTCCACTGTGCAGAAAAGAAGTTTTCATTTCCTGGACCAGCAAGCAGATTCCAACAGGGTATTGTCCCAAACTAATCTCTATTGAAAATGTACTCACATTGTATGCATCGATGATCAGCTGAATTACATTGCTTGAATTTGCAGATAATGTTCCTACTGCCGATTTAGGAATCAAATTTTTTAGTTCCTGTAATCCAAAGATAAAAGATGCAAAATATAAATATTATTTATTTACATATTTGCTTAACTAGTTAGACTCTATATGAATTCAAATATTCTTTAAATATTTGTTCCTATATATTTTCTACATAACTTCAGGACTTTCAAACCTAAAAAGATAAATTTTTAACACTAGTTTTAAAAGTTGTGATTAAAAATTAATTTAAGTACAAACCTTTACCTACAGTGATAAAGAAAAAAAGATGAAAATTGTTAAAAATGAAAAATGAAAGAGGGAACTGAATAAAAATGCAAAAAATTATGGCACAATATTATGAACAACTCTACGGCAAAAACTTACAGAACAGAAATGAGATGGGCAAATTTTTAGAAGTATAAAAACTACTCAAACTGACTCAAGATGAAATAGAAAGTATCAAGACACACTTAACAAGTGAAGAGTTCCAATTCTGAAAACATTCCAGTAACAACAAAAAAATTCTGGACTAGAAGGTTTACTGGGAGATTCTACGAAAACATTTTGAAATTAATTGACATCAATACTACTTAAGTTCCTTCAAAATTTAGAGAATGAAGGTATATCCCTCCTATCCATTTTAAGCAGCTCAGATGGCAAAAATTGACAAAGACAAAAGAAAGAAAACTGTAAGTGATCTCTTATGGATACAGATGTAACAATTAAAAACCATGAAAAGATAAGCTATCAACTGGTAGACTATATCTGGAAACTAGACATCTGATAAACCAAAGTTTATTAATAATTACTGGGGTTGTGCTGGTGTGGTTATGGGGGAAATGGATGGTCAAAGGTGAGGGAAAAAGCATTGATTGAGGGCTACACAGTCAGTAACTGTAATTGCTGTCAGTAAATTGTTTAGTTGAAATGACAAAAGTTGTGTGACAGACATATTTACAACAACAAAAGAAAAAAGAGCTGGTACTGAGGCTGCTATGTACACCAAAGACCCCACGAGATCTGACTTCCCTGGTTTAGAGGGCTAGGGCCATGGTTTCATAACCATCTGTATTCACTGATCTTTGAAAGCTTGCAGGTGGCCATCAAAGGCAAAACAAATGAACTCCATTCACTTGGAGCAAAAGAGAAAGGCAAGCCAACATGTTTTAACATGTGGCTAAGTGCCTCTAAGAATAACTGCCATGAGATCAGCACTGGATTGTGTCTGATTTATGGTAAAAATACTGTAGAAAATGACTGATCAAAAGATGGAACATGTTCCTGCTCAAAAGGAAGGAAGTACAGAAAGAATTTCAAATTTTCATGGACTCCAGACTTTCAGGAGCCATGGAAGGTAGTCAATACCTGACACTATTGCTCTGACACAGGCTATAATTAATCTTTAAGCCGTAAATAAAAAATATCTAAAATACCTAAAACTTTAATTCTGGTTCAGGCTTAATTAAACCTTAAGCTTTAAATGAAAATTATCCTCTGAAGTCTTAAAACTAACAGTTTAGATATACTAGTAAAAAATATTTGACTTAAGAATTTTGCTTTTTTTAGGACTTAGCTATAATGGAGGTCAAACTTGTACAATAAATAAGTTTATTAATGAGGGAGGAACAACTCAGAAAAGGAAGGTGAAAAGGTACATTAAAGAATATAATCAATGTCACTAAACAGTACATAAACTGATCTGCCATATGTTTTGCTGTGTGTATTTGAGAAAAACAACGGAGGAAAAAATATGAGCAATTTTTATAAAATTTAGTCTAACTAATAGTACTCTGCTACTTTTCAAATCAAACTTTTAATTTTGCTTCTAATAACTGAAAAAAAAGTTATAAAATTATATTCTTCTTTTATTTCATACATACTTTACCTTATAAACTGGCTGAAATTCTTCAGTAACTGCAAAAATTGTCTGAATGTTATTTTCACTGAGCTTCTGAACAAGATGAGCAATAGAAGGATAATCCTAAAAAAATTAAGTAGAATTTAATATGTAACTATATTTCCCAATCTATACCAGTTCTCTCAGTATGTTGTTGTTGTTGTTATGTGCCGTCGAGTCGCTTGCGACTCATAGCGACCCTATGTACAATAGCTCTAAACTCCGCTCTGTCCTGTGCCAATTGCAAATAATGATTTGTATATAATTAGACTGCACAAGATCACTCTGAAATAAAAGTGTTAAATATAAGTAACTGGAGTAATGTGTACACAAACGAAGTTGCTAGAAACAAGTATCTATATGTACACACACACACACACACATATATAAAATGCAAGAACAATGATAATTAAAGAATTGCTTGTAAAGGCTGGTTGTATGAGAGCTTTGGTGGCCTAGTGGTAAGAAGTTATGCTGCAATTCGAAACACACACAGTTCAAATCTACCAGCTGCTCTGAGAGAGGATGGGTACTCTCCTATGCAATTTACTGGAGAGTCAGCTATGGGTTAGTTCTGATGTGACAGCATAAAACAGTGACAAAAAATGTTGTATAACTATCACTTTAAAAGCAAAACAAGGTTCAACAAGGATTTCTTCTATAATTGAAATAATTTGTCAGTCTATGTTCAATAAAGCCAATGTCTACCTATAAAAGTCAGTATGTTGTTGCTATTTGCCATCGATCTGCAAAAGACTCATAGCTGACCCTCCAGTGGGTTTTCAGAGGCAGTAAATCACATGAGAGAAGATTACCCATCCTTCTCCAACAGAGCAGTTGGTGGATTCAAACTACATACTTGGGGATTGCAAGGCAGCTTTTTACCACTAAGCTACCAGACCTCCAAAAAGTCAATGTAGAATAAGATAGAGTGTAAGACTATAGAGATTATGTTTAGAAAATGGTCCATGTAATTGACAGGATATAGCCCGGGGTAGAGGCACATGATAAAATGCTGCCCTTGAAGTAGTGCCTTTCACCCCAGTGAGAGGCCCTTCTCTATGGGGAAGGAAGTACGCAAAAAGCCACAACTTTAGAAACAGCAATACTAGCCTTCCTGCACACTGGGTTAGGGCCATAATTACCAAAATAACAAAACCCCAAACCCTGAAAACCCACAAGCCAGTCCCACAATGCTTTAAAACTCAATGCAAACCCATTCAATAAGAAATTAAGCACTTACATAATAATGGCTCATTGTGTACACATCATTCTCCAGGTGACACTGTCCATCATTTGGTAAAACAATGCCACCCAGTTTCCCATCTCCAGCAAAGTGAAAGCCAGCATCCGTGGAAAACACCAGCAGCCGTGTAACATTCCTCCAACCAATCAATGACTTGGGGGGGGTGGGGAAGATATCCATTTTAAAACACTATTTACAAAATATTACACATAAATCTTTACATTTCCTTACATTTTTATGCCATAGTAACTAATCTCTAACTGTACCGTCTTTACTTTTTTTAAACAATGTTAATTACGCTCATAAAAGTAGAGAGCCCACTTAATGAAGCTTCTCCAAACCACCGCGCGTAACTAACTTTATCTGAGTGGTCATTACTCTATGCTCTTTAAAAACTGTTCTTTTTTAAAAATCAATATGTATGCTCCCCATTTCTGCTTGCAGAAAGTGAAGAAAATGTAAACCATTCAGTGGAGAAGATAAAAGACTAAAGCTTTCTATATGGGTTACATCTCAGTATCAAGGAAACAAAAATACTCACTACTGGGCTCAAAAGCAACATCATGATGCTGCTGTTATTGTTAGGTGCCACTGAGTTGAGTATGACTCACAGCGGTCCTATAAACAAAAGATCTGAACCCTGTTCTATCCTGCGTCATCCTCACAATTTCTAACACACAACAGCTCACGCAGCAGTCACCATGTCAATCCACCAGGTTGGGGGTTTTCCTCTCCTTCACTGACCCTCCACCATTCCCAGCATCATGTCCCTCTCCAAGGAATAGCTCCTCCTAGCAACATGCCCAAAGTATGTGAGGTGAAGCCTCATCATTCTTGCCTCCAAAGAGCACTCTGGTTGCACCCTCTCTAAGACATATCTCCAAGACATTTCTTTTGGCTATCCATGGGATGTTCAGTGCTCTTCTCCAACACCATAATTCAAAGGCATCAATTCTTCTGTCAACTCTATTCATTGTCCAGCTCTCAGATGCATAGCAAGTGATCAGAACGACCATGGCCTGAATTAGATGTACCTTAGTCCTCAAAATGACATCATTACTCCTCAATAATCTGGAAAGGTCCCTAACTACAGATTTTGCCAGTACAATGCATCTTCTTATTTCCTGACTGCTGGTACTAAAGGTGTTAATTGTGGATCCAAGTAAGACAAAGCCGTTGACAGTTTCAGTCTTCTCTGCATTCATCATGATGCTGCCTTTTGGTCCAGTGGTAAGAATCTTTGTTTTCTTGACATTGAGATGCAATCCATACTGAAGGCTGCATTCATTGATCTTTGGCAAGAAGTGCTTCAAGTCCTCCTCACTTTCAGCAAGTAAGGTATGATCATGATAGATGGAGACTGATATTGCAAACTATTTTATTTTACTTATAATCTACAATCAACATTCATGACAGCAGTAGTCAAGAAATCAAAAGATGCTTTGCACTGGGCAAATATGTTGTCAAGGACCTACTTAAAGTGCTAAAGAGTAAGGGTGTTTTCAAGATTACAGTGCACCTGACTCAAGCTATAGGATTTTCAATTGCTTCTTATGGCTGTAAAATAAGTAATTCTTACAATGAGTAAGAATGATAGAAGAACTGATGACTTTCAATTGTGGTTTGGTAAAGAGTACTACCTACCTATGGAATGCCAAAAGAACAAATGAATCTATCTTAGAGCAAGTGCAACCAGGGTTTTCCTTACAGGAGATGATGGTTAAAATCTCATTTAACATACTTTGGGCATGCTGTCAGAGAATGCTAGTTCTTACAGAAAGACATTATGCTAGGAAAAATAGAGGGACAGTGAAAAACAATAAGACCCTCAGTGAAATGGGCATGAGACTTGAATAATGGGCTTGAGCATGGCAGATACCATGATGGTACAGGGTAAGAAGGTTTCAATCTGTTGTTCACAGACTGCCATCAGGTATAGACAACTCAGTGGTACCTAATAAAAACAGTAATATGTTCCCTGTTAGGTTGTAAGCAATCCATGTGAACAGGCCCACATCTGTTTTTGTTTTTATACATCACTGCATCAAGCACTGTACTACTTTGTAGGAAATTAATGCACTTACCCCACATACTGCAACTTGCATGATTGCATCAAAACCACCTTCTGGAGAATCCAAATTTCCAGATATGCGCTGTTTACCAACAAGTTCATTAAATACTTCTCCTTTATCAGTAAGACTAAGAACATTTTTGTAGCTAAAGGGGCTTGTACAGTTCTGTTCACTTGTGCAAGGATTCCTGAGTTTAGCCGGTGTTGTACTAATATAAGGCATCACAGTTTTCTCCACAAATGAGCCAAACCCTATGAAGAAAAATGCATTTATTTACGTCATACATATAAACTTTCAGTTTAAAAAAAATAAATATGTCACATATGTCAGTCAATGTCAATCTTACATCTAGTAGAAAATTGTCTAAAAATAATTTACATTCCTTTTCCTAATGTTGTTGTTGACTGCTTTCAAATCGAGCACAACTCATAGCAACCCTATGAACAAAAGGTCTGAAGCCCCTCTACAACTACTGACATTTATCAAAGTTCATAGAGTTTCAGGAGGCATGTTGTTTAGAAAGTGGATGCCACTCATAACTCTTAATAACTGCTTGTTAAATTAATGAATGAATGGGTGGAATAATCATATAAGCAAATAAATACATATTTTTGAATTTTTCCAATTTCCATTAGACTTAAATTATCCTTACTGAATGTGAAAGAATTTTAAGCAAGTATAATTCTATTTGTTAAATGTGTTCCAGCTAAAACAAAGCTTTTTTGAAAAGTAGTTTTTGATCCTCAAAAATAAAAACTATCAAATTTTTCCAATACTGTTTTTAAACCTCTGTTAGCCTAGAAATGGGCCGGGGGGGGGGGGCGGAAGTGGGGAGGAATCGGAAAGGAGGTTAAGGTGAAGATGCATGAAATGTAACAAAGAAGATCTAAAAAGGAGATCATTACCAAATGGAGGATCCAGATCTAAACTAGATCAAGTTGTACAAGTGTTTCATGTCAGTTAGTAGTGAAGTAGAATGTGAGTGCTCGATATGTGTTTATAAAATAAATTAACAACTGTAACTTAATTCCTATGAAAACAAACCTGCATTTCATGATCTGTATGGCACTGTTGTTGTTATGTGTTGTCAAGTCAAACTGACATACATATAGGTGACCCACTAACAGGTTTTCAGAGGAAGTAAATCACACAGGAGGTGACTGCTCATCTGTCTTAAGTAAGATGGCATCACAGACAACGAAAGACTAGGACACAAACTACAAGTGTATGAGGAAGAAGCAAATCCTTCTCAGAAACAAAAGGTTAAAGACTAGTCTATTTACCTCCTAAGAATATTATGAAAAACAAAGGAGGAAAATATAATAAGACTTTGAGAACTGCCAAACCTTAAACAAAGGAGAATTATTCATTTTCCTAATATTCCTACCAATTCTGAAGTCTGAAGTTATTCTCTTCATTTCATTCATGAGATCTGTTCCAAGACTTTTCACATTCTCCAAATCATCTTTCATTGAGTAAGAGAGGTCCATAAGGTAGTAGAGATCAATGGGATAGTCTTCAGCTCTCTTAAATTTTAATGTAAATGTCTGTGGTTCCCCTAATTAAACAGAAATGAGAAAATAAAACTGCTTTATCAAAAGTCAAAATCAAGTGATAATTCTAACACCACTATTATTGGAAGCCAAGGAAGGATTTACACGCAAATAAAATCTTATTATTGGAAGCCAAGGAAGGATTTACACGCAAATAAAATCTATCTTAGAGAGTTAATAGGAATGGGAAAGAAGGGAGTAGAGAGGAAAAACTGATTACTGAATAAATGGAAAGGCAATTATTTAATAAAGGGTTGAAAGAGAGAGAGAGAGAAAGCCCTCGAGTTGGAACTGACACAGCTACCCTCCAACAGGTTTTCAGAGGCTATAATAACATAGGAGGAGATTTCCTATCTTTACGCCATAGACATCTGGTGGATTCAAACCATCTGGCTTCAGGCTGGCAGTGCAAATTCTTATAACTAGGATACTAGAGCTCTCCAAATGGTTGATTAGACATGGTAATTAATTAATTAATCACATTAAACAATGGTAATGAATGCTAAAACAAAATAGCTATGAATAATTATATGAAAAGCTACTAGAAATACTTGTAAACCATCACAGAAATAAAAAGTAAAATTAAATACAACAAAAAAAGCCAATGAGAAAAACTAAATGACTAAGAATTTCATATTAAACACAAAATATGTGAAGTGTCATATTAAAAAAAAGTAGAGACCTCTACACATTACTCTCTCTCTCTCTGGCATTCAGTCAGGTCTAACTCATAGCTGGTTCTCCAGTGAGTTTCCAAGTCTATAAATTGCACAAGAGGAGACTGCTCATCTCTCTCATATCGGGTGGCTGGATTCCAACCACCAGAAAGACACAGTCTGTGAGTTCTTAGGCTAAGTCTTTATGGACTACATATACCAACAGAGCTCCCTATAACTCTAATAGACCAATAAATACTTGCAAACTAGAACTGACAGTTACAAAACTGAAGGACGTCCATCTCCAATTCACATAGGCTAAGACAATAAAGCAATCTATGATCAACCTCAACAGATGAAAGCAAACAGACTGAACACTATAAGATTTGAAGGGCAATGCAGGGTACAAATCATATCTTTAGAGATGAAGTTATAGTAGGACTCATAGTGATCCCATGAACAATAGCTCTGAACTCTTCATATCTAATACTATTCAGTATTTACTATTTAATATTATTCTAAATAAACATGGCACAAATTGAGTAAGAAATTTTTTCAATGTAATCTATACTTTAGAGCATCTGTGCATAGGATAATAAGATGACAGAAAGCTCACTGAACTCATGAAACACTACATACATGAGTGAGTCTGGATGACATGCTGAGTGAAATTAACTCCGTAACAAAAGGAAAAATACCGCATAAGATCGCTGTTACAAGAACAGGATGGTCACTGGGTGGGTGGGGGGGGAGTGTCAGGTGGGGGCTGTTGATGAGGAGAGCAGGAAAACAACAGGTAGATAATTCTTTGTATTGCAACAGGTAAAGGGAAGGTCAATCTGAAATGAATAGATGAGCAGACATTATGTTCACTGCAGATAATAATCAGACACAGGGCATACACTATGGATGGAATGGAGGTGGGGAGAAGAAAAGATAAAAATAAACAGAGAAGGTAGATGACAGGAATAACAATACACAGTAAGGGTTTGCTTAGACATTGTAATAAGTTAACTGCATCAATCAATGGTAATTAATATTTATGAATGGATGTCTAAAAAAACCCAATGTGATTTGTAAACTTTCACTCACATAAAACGGATTAAAAAAACAAACAAACAAAAAAACCCCACCACAAAAACTCAGGGAGAAATGAAGTCATTATTAGGGTTATATTTCCATACCTGATCTTAACTGCAAAACCAAATGCTGTGGCTGAATCTGAGTAATATCTTCTGGCTGGAGCTTCTCTGCTGTACCTTTGCTACGATTTGTTACATTTTTATTTTTTTTTATCTCTTTGGAGCCTCTAGGGTTTTCTATGTCATTTGGATGGCAACCTTTTTTTTTCAAAGCTTCTAAATCATCACATCTAGCAGAGGTAGGCATTCCTTCTTGTAAAAATGTCTAAATGACATATAAAAAAATACAGGTTAAAATTTCAAAAAGTATAATGATCAAAGCTTTTACATAACCATCATTTCAAAGTAAAACAACACCTGAAGTATCTAATAGACTTTATTCCTAATTTTAAAGTATACCTTCATCCACACCACAGTAAGTATTCTTGTTTAAAAAGAAGTAAAATCCTTTTCTAGAAAGTATTTCCAGGGCTGACTTTAATGTCATGCTTTCTTCTAATTCAGAATATCTTACCAAAATAAATTTTTTCCATGAAATCACTTATTCAACATGGTTCATTGCCACGAATAACACATTGCTGCTACAGTTGCCATCAAGTCAATTACAACTTATAGTGACCCCATCCTTTGCCATACTCACAACTGCTGCCATGCTCAAGCCCTGCGTTGCAGTCACTGTGTTAATCCTCCTTGTTGAGGTTCCAACAACATATATGCCTTAATATTTTTAAAGTCTCTCATATTGTACTCTCCATTACCATAGCATGAGCAAGTCAATGTTTAGAGAAAGCACATTAGAATAAAATGTAAAAAGAACAATGCACCTAAAAGCATTTTGTTTAAAAAGATAATAAAGCACATTCAGAATAAAGTTCTAAAAGAATTATTCATTATAGTGCTTTTTAAAAAATTTTTTAAAAAAATTTAGCCTAGATTCGACCCAAAATCTGTAATTTTGACGAAAAACGTTTAAGCCTTAGCTATTAATAAACATTTAAAAGTATATTTTTGAAAGATGATACAGTAAATAATTATATGACAAT